CGGGGAGGGAGGGTTCCTGCCCAGGGGCGGGGCCTGTGCTGTTTGGCCCCCTTTGGCAATGAGCTGCGCAGGTACCCGAGGGTGGGAGAGGAGGAGGACGAGAGGAAAGAATCTGCAAGTCAGGGAAGTCCGCTTCCAATTCCACCTGCGGAGGGAGCCCTCCTACCACCAGCCCTTCCCTTTCTTCCCCTTCCCACCGCCACCCTTTCGCCTGCCGTTGGCCTCAGTTTCCCCGTTTACGAGGTGGGGGGCATGGCGCCGGGCCTGCCATCTTTTATGCGCACCTCGCCAGGGGTTGGTTGCCAGCTTTAGCAAATAAAAATACGGGATGCTATTTGCATTTACATTTCAGATAAAAAGCAAGTAATCATTTAGCATAAACATGTCCCCAATATAAAATAAAATTAAAATATAAAACAGTGTTATTTATCGGAAATTGACTGGGCGGCCTGTTTTGTACCCTTGGACACATCCTGACCATTGGCAGGTGCCTTCCCTGTGCGGGGAGCGCGGTGCTCATCCCTGCGGTGATGAAACCCCAAGGGGGGCCAGGACGCCTTGAAACCCCGTTTTAGTTCTGCTGTCCTTCATCAGCGTGCAGTTCAGAGAAAGACTCCTGGGGGATTCTTTCTCGTTGTTGGAATGAATCTAGTTAACAAAAGCGAATTTATCGTTCAGAAGGGCTGAAGAGTTGTTTTATATTCAAGTTCCCCGCTGTGGCATTTACTTTATATTTTTGGGAAGAAGTAACTGTATTAAACTGTCAAAGAATAGTTATTTACTATTTGATTTTGAAAATGTATTTTATGTAGTAAATCACAATGGCATATCATTTGGCTCTGATGTCTGTGGAGAAGGTTATATTCATATGTGTTGCGAGAGATCCATACATCACTGTAAAGGTAGGGTTAAAGTAGTATCGTGTATAGAAGCTGAAGCTCAAATTGTGGAATGGGACACACCTGGGTTCAAAGCCCAGCTCCAGCACTTGGAAGGCAGTAGGCAAGTTACCTAATCTCACTGGGCCTGTTACCTCCTCTTTACAGTAGAGATGATAATAATTTTCCACTTCATGGGATTGTTGTATTAAATCCTTGTCCATTGTCTGGGACATTAAAAGTAACTTTACCTGTGTTCAGCCATTGTAATTGGACTTTTGATAAGTGTGGGTCTTTGGCATAAGTCATTAGATAATCATTACATTTTTAAATTTTAAGTTGAAAAAAGCCAAGCAGTTAAGGATATTATTGTGGATATCTTGAACTTCAGTGAAAAGAAACATACTGTTTAATAATAATTAAAGCAGACATTTTAGTCTATAATATAACAGTTTTACCAGATCAAATATCTGTAAGCTGGGATAATACAAAAAAATATTTATATATCTGTATTTTTCATTGCTCCTCATGTATAATTTTCTATGTTTTCATTTTTATTGGGTTATATGTAAACAGGAAGAAACATTACCAGCATCAAAAATGACTACAGGGTTACGGTTGAAGTCAGAAAATGGGTGTATAGTCAGTGGCTGTTTTTAGTGAGGCATACTGGGTATATTTTAAAAACTAGAGGCCAAGCTTTTAGAATTTTTATGTTTTTGTATATTGTTTTATATCCTCAGTGTTTACAGTGTTAAAGTAGTTTACTTATAAACTATTCCCTGAAATTCCTCTTGGGAAATTTTTTTCTCCAAAAAACTACAAAACATTTTTACCACCTAGAAAGGAATATGTAATTTTGAAGATTCAAGTTCTAATTTTTTGCAACCACTCTTTATTACCCAAGTGATCAGAAACAAATCCCTTAACATATCTGGCCCTTGGTTTATTTGTAATATAACTAACAAAAACCTATTCCCTCGCCCCCAAGATTTATAAATGCTATCAATGACTATTAGATATTATCCACCAGAGAAAACTTCAGCCATGGATGAATCCAACTATATATCTTTGTACCTGCAGCAAACCTCCTAGAAGAGCTGGAGAAACTTATACACTGGGAAGATTTGGTTAAAAAAAAAAAAAATTAGTTCATGGTAGTCAACTTCACCTGGGCTTTCATTCTTCCATTTTATGCAACTGCTTTATCAAGTCCTCTTCACTCTTTTCAAAACCCTGAAATCTCCTACAAGCCATTCTCGACAAATGATCCCAATGTTATTGAGAAAATGGAATACCTGAGCTAGGCTTCCTGCCAGAAACTTTGCCCATCCACCTTCATCTGTGCCCTTCCAACTTCCATCAAAGTCTATGATTCCTTTCCCTCTCCCATCACAGGGATCTCATTACATCCAGGGTTTGACTGTTGGTATTGACCTTGATCACCCGGCTGAGGTAATATTTGTGAGGACTCTCCACTGTAAAGTTGCTCTGAGAAATGATGAACCAGCCAGCTTATTTTACTTTTTTAGACAAAGAAACAATATATTTTTGAAGAAGTGACAAGATAAATACACTTGGGTTTGGGTGCTCTTTAGTGAGTTTGGGCTTGGGCAGTAAGTTAGTGAAGGAGTAACATGGTTTGTTTATGTAAGCTTTTCGGCCCTGGATTCCTTACCTCTAGTGATGAGGGTGTCTTCCTCAGCTTCCCTGCAGCAAGGAGTGCACCTCTAACTGCAGAGGTGAATTTCCTGAGTTCAAGGCAACAAGCCAGGGTAATGGGCCCTTCCTGCACCAGCTGCTTGTCAAGTAACTTTAATTCAAAGTAATCAGTATGCCATGGTGGAATATATTGGGGTGGCCTGCCCTGTGCCCCAACAAAGTTGTAGGCTTTATTTAGATCAAGGCTGTATAGTCACAGTTTCCTATTGAAAAGGTACTTATTTTTAAAGTGAATGGTAATCAGTGACTACATACAGAACATCTTGCCTTGGAGCTGTTAACACAGAGCTTATTCACTACATGTCTTACACACAGAAGAATAATATAGGAAATGTTCGTTTTGATACTGTAAGAAACAGGATCCCAAGTTTGAAAAGGCACAAAAATCTAATTAAAAATGAGACACTTAAAAGGAGTCTATCATGAAGCAGTTTGATTAGTTGTAAATTTGGAAGTGGTTCTGTGTTGTGCTGTATAAAAGCTGCTTGCAGACCAGAATTTTAAACTGAATATGAACAGTTCGGCATTTAGCCATGTGCTTCGGAAATCATTTGATGGAGCCTTTATTTCTGCAACATAATAACTTAACGCTTTTGACTTTTAGATCCAAAAGGTAACTCTAGCTCTTGAATACTATCTGGGAACAACTTGTCATGCCTGCTTTGTGGAATTGGTGTTCAAAAATGAAATGCAAAAATGCAGACTGGCCAAGCACATACTGGTTATTGGTACTCCAGGGAGAACAGGAGATGTTAAATAGAGGATATCTTTGTAAGTATTACCATGTTTTTCCTAGGGTATTTTTTAACCATAATATGTGGGATATGGTAAAGAAAAATAATTAGCCTAATTATTTAAGCCAGTTGCCATGCATGAATATCTAGAGTTGATACTAAGACTTTTTAAAAAATATATTATTATTGATTTCAGAGAGGAAGGGAGAGAGGGATAGAAACATCAATGATAAAAGAGAATCATTGATCAGATGCCTCCTGCACGCCCTACACTAAAAATTAAGCCCGAAACCTGAGCATATGCCCTGACCGGGACTCAAACTGTGATCTCCTGGTTCATAGATCAGTGCTCAACCACTGAGCCACGCCATCTGGCAAGACTTTTCTTTTTTTCAGAATGGTGTTAGATTTGCAGACACATTGAGAAGACAGTACAGAGTTTCCAGATACCTTGCACCCAGTTAGGCATATTATTAACATCTTATATTAGTAGGGTACATTTGTTAAAATTAATGAACCAACCTTGGTACATTATCTTGAACCAAAATCCAGAGTTTATTCAGATTTCCTTGGTTTTTACCTACTGTCTTTCTGTTCCAGGATCGCACCTGGGTTGATTACCTTGACAGTTTTGAGGAGTATTGGTCTGATAGTTTTAGAATGCCCTACATTTGAAATTTGTTGTTTTTCTTAAGGTTAGACTTGGGTTAGGGATTTTGGAGAGGAAGACCACAGAATTAAAGTGCCATTTTCTCATTACATCAAGGGTTTGATTTGGTATTGACCTTGGTCACCTGGCTGAGGTAGTATTTGTGAGGTTTCTCCACTGTAAAGTTCCTCTTCCCTGCCTGTTCCATACCATAATCTTTGGAAGGAAGGCTCTATGCACAACCCACACTTAAGTAAGACTTATTTTTTAATTTTCCAAAATGGATCAAGATGCTTGTTTTGGATGAAGCAAATAAATATGTTGAGCCAAGAGATGAGAGATCAAATCCATGAGACTTACCAGAAATTAAATACAAGTATTGAGGTATGACATGATTTTTCTGTAGCTGGCAGGTTGGGTTAATTGTTACAATATAGCTGTGAAGTGCTATATTGTCCCTCCCCCTGCTGAGAGTAAGTGTTTCCTACAATCTCTGTCTGACTTATTTCCGTAGTAAGACAGGGACGCTTGGTCTCAAACATTTTTTTCTTCAAATATTATTTATGAAAACTATTATAGCTGCTTAATTAATGTGTCAACATAATTAGTTATTGTCTCTTTTTTAAGGTTGTGCTGCTTTCTGCCTGATGCCAGTCAATCTGTTGCAAGTCATCAGTTCATGAGATCCATTTCAAATTCTGGTGAAGAAGGAAGAATTGACCCTTGAAAGGTTCAACATTTTATAATAATTTTGAAAGAGGGTAATGTTATTCTAATTGATATACTTAAAAATTGTAGCCAGGATTTTAAAACTATATTTGTATTGATTTCATAGGGGAAGGGAGAAGGAGAGGGAGAGATAGAACATCAAGGATGAGAGAGAATAATTGATCAGCTGTCTCCTGCATGCCCCCCATTGGAGATCAAGCCACAACCCTGGCCTGTGCCCTGACTGGGAATCAAACCATGACCTCCTGGTTCATGCTCATCCACTGAGCCACACCAGCCGGCCTAGCCAGGATTTTTTTTAACCTTCTTATTTAAGCTCTGTGCTAAAATAGCAGAACCTAGTATCATGTCTATGTATAGTATTTGTAATAAAGCTAGCAGAGTAAACACAAGAAGGAAAACACAAGAAGGGTAGTAGAAAAAATAAGATTAACGTTTGTTTTTAAGTCCAGGATATTTTATTCTTAGATTAGGTACAATAATATCTGAATTTAGGCGAAATTAATAGAATGAATTTCTAACTGGTCTCTTCCAATAATAGGGATGAGAGAAATCAAATGGCTTTTTATTGTGACTCTGAGATGAACTCTGAGATTTTCCTCTAAAATACTGTAGGGAAGGAAATTGTATGTTCTTTGTGAGTTATGAGAGACCAGCAAGTACATAGGCTGTTCTTTTTCAGAACATGGGGCAAAGGTAGATGGGCTGCTTCTTTTTTTGTTTGTTTGTTTGTTTTGTTTGTTTGTTTGTTTTGTTAATTCTCACCAGAGGATATTTTTTTATTGATTTTAGAGAGAATGGAAGGGAAGAGGAGAGATAGAGAAACATTGATGTGTAAAAGACATCAATTGGTTACCACCCCCTCCCCCACCAGGGCCAGGGATCAAGCTTGCAATCCAGGTATAGGCCCTTGACTGGAATCAAACCCAAGACCCTTCAGCCCTTGGGCCAGTGCTCTATCCACTGAGCCAAATTGGCTAGGGCTAGACTGGCTTCTGAGAAAAATATGTGCCAGGAATTTCAGTGTCTGATGTGATAAGAAGGCTATTCCCCTGTATTGCTAATTAAGACACTGTTAATATCTAATTATTTCCTTAATAAATAGAAGCAGGATCTAGTTACAGTGTAGCTGCGAAGTGCTGCATTGTCTTTGCACTCTGCTCAAAATAAAACTGTTTCCTTCCAAGCCCTGTGGCCCGGTGCTGTAGCCACCAGGGATGTGTGGTCTCACACATGTTTCCCAGCTTAAACGCTGAGTAGTCTAAGGACTCTTTTTGTTTTTTTAATTTATCTTTATTGTTGAAAGTATTACAGATGTCCTGTTTGTTTGTTTGTTTTTCCCCAATGACCCCTTCTCCACGCACCAGCCCCTCCCAGGTCTTCACCATTCTTGTCTGTTTAACCAACCACTCTTGAGCATTAAGTCTGTTAATACTTTGCAGGTGGTAACAGAAAGAGACATTATCAAGAGGGAATTGAGATAAGGGACAACCCACATTTTGATTTCTATGACTTATTGGGAATTCAATTCCTTATTTAATTATAATATTTATCACCCAACAGTTGGTTTTGAGGGGAAAATTTTAAGTCACCTTTGTCAGTTCAAGCTATGTAGGGGGGATAAAGACCACACTCCACAGCGAGCTTTATGCTGTCTGTGCAGTTCATGACTCTTCCGTGGCCCAGAAGCGTGCTCAGCAGTTGATTTTTAATCAGAATGTGTATATATACTATCATGTCTCAGGCTCATGATTTTTATGTACAACTAGTATCTATGGTTATAAACCATGATCTGCCCACTACTTGTGAAAACTATATTCTTAGTTAAGTATTTGCCATCTTCATTGAATTACTTGTTTTTATTCCGGTGAATTGCAATCATGTATCGCTTTTTAAGTGTGATTTTGTTGGGCAAACAACCTCGAAAATCAGATAAAGAATCAAGAAAATGCCCTAACCCGTTTGGCTCAGTGGATAGAGCGTCAGTCAGCCTGTGGACTGAAAGGTCCCAGGTTCTATTCCGGTCAAGGGCATGTACCTTGGTGGCGGGCACAGCCCCGGTGGGGGGTGTGCAGGAGGCAGCTGATTGATGTTTCTAACTCTCTATCCCTCTCCCTTCCTCTCTGTAAAAAATCAATAAAATATGTTTTTTTTAAAAAAAGAATCAAGAAAATAATCTTATCACCTAGTAATGTGATAAGATGTATTTAAAATGGTACTTTTGGAAGATTCATGGTTGATCAGAACACAGAGGGAAAGCAAATGTGAAATAAAAAGGCCAGATTATGGACTTTATACAGTTGATATTTTTTTTTAAAAATCAATAATGCTATTAGATCTGGTTGTCTTAATTTGCACAAGTCTTTTTATATATCATCATCATCATTATTATTTAGTCATGTTGCTCAAATCTTGTGCTTTCTTGATGATTACTCTATAATTGGGATTTTCTCAGCATTTCTGGTAGCAATTTTATTGACTCTGGCACAGGTCAGAGTCATTACATAAATTTAATTATACCTTGCTACTAATGTAAAACTAACTTTCTTTAAAAAAAAATATAATAGTTATGATAGTTGATGAAAATAGGTGACAAGATGGGGCTCAGAAATGGCATTGGCCTGACTTCGGACATGCATTCATAAGTGAAACTATGTTTGGATAAAGAGTTAGTGTTTCCATATTTGTTTTTCTCTTGTCCTGATTATTTGATCCAGCCAACACATTTTAATTGGTTGTATTATGTGTATCGTTAGAGTGGAGAGCTGTGTTGGTAAACATATTTCAGTTATTTGTGGTATAGTGTATGAGGTGATCAGAAAACAGTGATAAATATGGGTTACCATAGAAAATTTTTGGAGTCTCCCTCCCCCACAAAAAAAAACCCCACATACACTGGAAAAGTTTTAAGTGCTGTATCAAGTCTGTCCAGTAGAACTTTCTGCAGTGATGGAAATGCTCTCTGTCTGTGCTGCCCAACACAGCAGTGACAGGCCACACGAGGCTACTGAAATATGGTTCATTCAACTGAGGACCTGAATTTTACTTAATTTTTACTTATTTAATTTTAATTAATTTAAACTTAAATAGCCATAAGTGGCTAGTGATTATTATATTGGACAGCATAGTCCTAAATGATAGTTAACAATCCAGAATTTATATTTGCAGTTTATAGTTCCAAATATGTTCACAGGATTACATGACTGTTCTTTTTGTTTTGTCCCTGGTGCTGACATCTGTCCCAGGCTGACACCTGCTCTTGGCCCACTTTGGTATGGGATTTAATTTCACTGCCCCAAACACAATACTGTCATCTGCTTTATAAGTAATAATACTCAAGATGTCTGATAGAATCTGCTCTTGCAGCCAAATTAATTCTTTGGCACTAACTACAAAAGAAGACTTTCATTTTTCCCTAGATATTGTGATGAGCATCTAGTGATCCAATTACAAGTATTCTATATAATCTTAGCAAGTAAATAGCCACTGATGGTTAACAAGTAGCTCATATTGTTAGTAGTTCCCGTAGGATTTGGTAAGTAATATTCCTATGAATAACTTTTCTTCTGTTCAGAGTTGGCAGGAGGAGGAACATTTGGGAGGAAAGCTATGGCCATAAGTATTCTTCACGACACTCAGACTTTCCACCACACTGTAGTGGAGGAAATTTTTTTAAATTAAATTTATTGGAGTGACATTGGTTAATAACATTATATAGATTTCAGGTATACAATTCTATGATATATCATCAGAATATTACTTTATGCCCTAGCTGGTTTGGCTTAGTGGATAGAGTGTCGCCTGCGAACTGAAGGGTCCCGGGTTTGATTCCGGTCAAGGGCACATGCCCTGGCTGTGGGCTTGATCCCCAGTAGAGGGCATGCAGGAGGCAGCTAATCAACGATTCTCTCTCATCATTGATGTTTCTATCTCTCTCCCTCTCTCTCCCTCTCTGAAATCAATAAAAAAATATATATTTTTTTAAAAGACACTTGGAAGTTTAAGGAACCCTTATTTTATGATGTATGCACCACTGTGTTCACAGTTCCTCTCCACTACACACAAGACAACTTATCAGCAAGAAAGTCCTTTATGTGGCCTCGCTTGGAACTTCATTCCCTCTAAATTCTAAACTTAAGTACACACACTCTCCAGTACACTCATCTTCAACCACCACCTCTATATATTCATTTAGAACACTCTGCCCACCTCTCCCTGCCCCCAACCCCCTCACCCCACCCAGCGAGCTCCTGACCCACCTCCCTGCCTTGGATGAGGAACCATCTGGCACCTTCGCCCTCCTCTCCTCGGTTCCCGTCCTGTCACCCCAACAGCCCCAGACCTCAGGTCACCCCCGTCTTCTCTGCTCCTACAACACCCGCCAGGCTGCTGGGGAAGGTGTGACACCCGCAGGCAGCATCCCTGCCAATGGCCACACCCAGCTGTGGGCAGGGCACTCCGTGCTGTGTGACTGTCCTTCGCTTGTCCCGACCTTCTCCCTCTCCCAGTCTCTTCACCAGCCATGCTAAGTCTCCCCTCTCTGAGGTCTGTCTTCCTCACTCTTAGCTGATGCGTTTACTTCCTGCCTCACTGAGATAGGAGAAGAGTCACACATTGTCAGCTTCTCATTCCCATGTGTGTCTCGGATTCCCAGGCTCCCGCCCTCTCCATTCCCTCTCTGAGGCATATACTGAAGGTCAGGGCGAGGCGCTCACTTGAGGTACAACATTTAAGGGGACATAAAAAAGTGTAGTAATAAAAATCAGTCCTATTTAAATGTAAAGTTTTTTTAAAAAATCAAAATTAATGCAAAAATTTACAATAAACAAAATATCAGAATTTAAATAAAGACAGGATCCTACCCAACATTTACTTAACCTGCCTCACTCGCCTCACCCTAATCCTGTGGCTGACTGTATGCAGCCCACGGGTGCTGAATGTTTCAGACAGGCAAGTAACCTTGATTCTGTATTCATCAATACATAATGGAAACAGGTTTCACTGAAAAACACTTAAACTTACTATATCCAATACATATTTTCACTTAAAAAAAAAAAAATTCTGAACCATTGAGTGCAGACCTGCAATTTGAAGAAACAACCAGTAGAGGGATTCTCTCCTACTGTAAAAGGACCATCTTCCCTTGTGAGCATTGCCATAACAAAAACAAACCCCAGTGTTCATAGAAGTAGGTGATGTAATCCAAAGGGAACACTAGGAGGAGGAGGACTAGGACTATCAGAAAGAAAGAAAAATAACTAAGTCATTTAATTATTCAATTCTGACAGGCTCCTCCTTATTGGGGAAATAAAGTATTATAATGAAACCTGCCCCTCTGAATAGCCCTATATTTTCTGTATGAAAATACATTCAAATTTTAGTTCTCTAATTCTAGTCTGAATAGTTTCATAGGAAATTGGGTCTCATATTAAAAGTCTAATATTCAAAGTACCCCCTGATGAGGATTTCTAGGCAGTTACAGTAAGAGTCCATTTTACTATTTTGTACCTTTTACTTTTAATCTTTCAAGTCCCATGGTAGGATAATTCTTGGGTCTTTCCCAAGGTTGGCAAAGGAAAGAGAAAATTATCTGTAACTTATTTATGCTAGCTACATCAGTTTCCACATTCTAGAAATTTCTTTTCCTAGCTTGTTTTGGAGACCTATTGCTCCCCATTAAACAAATGTGCCCCTGCTAAAACCAGTCCAGGAGCCAAATGGGCATGTTCAAAGAAATCAAAAATCATTCAGAATTCACTGGAAAGCATGTGTTTTGACTTGGTCGGTTATCTCAGTAAATCCACTGTACTGGTGCTGAAAAGCATAAATGGTTGCTGTGTAGTAGTGATTGCTTATCCTATCTGCCTCCGTAGGAAGGGAACAACCTGAAGTTGAATTTATAACTCATTTTTTTAAGTGTGGAAAATTAAGGATGCCCTTAGTTATATCACTTATTAATTCAAATTTGAGGGAGTTTCAATAGTATGACTCTTCTAGAAAAGACAAAATTCTACTCAGTAATTGTCTTGGGTGTTTTGTGACTATGACTTTAGCTATGAAATGTTAGCTTACGCTGTGATTAGGGCCATTTGGGGGTTATGACTCCACAAAGAATAAGTTAATTCTTGATTCAGTGTTAGTCCAAACACTTTAAATTCCACCTTAGCATGGATGTGGGCACAGGGGAAATGGGTTACATTACCATTTCTCACTGCTGGCCACCTGAGATCTGCTGTGTGCACTCAGCAACAGATCCCGAGTTACACGTGGGGGTGGATTTCTGTTCACTGGTGTGGAAAACTAAAGGCAGAAATGCTGAATGAACAAACACACAAAGACAAGCCCTGAGTCTTTGCCAAGGATACTGGTTGCATGGGGATTATAGACTACTGTTATATTTTAAAGACATTATGCTAAAAGTAATTAAAATTTCCCATTAACAAGCTTGATTATGCAGATTTTGAAACAAAGAAGCTGAAATGTAAAGTAGGCCTCGTAGAGGTCAACCATTTGCTTTTCTAAGCTTGGCCTTCTGTATTCATTCTTGAGCATAGCTGTTGGTTGACAGGGCTGCTTGCTCTTTTAAACACAGTTCTTGTTTTGTGCTTGCCCACTTAAGGAGCAAACTTCTCCGTTGCCCACTCTAGCAACAGTCGCTAACATGGGTGTGTTTACTGTACAGTGGGCACGTTTGGAATGCCTTACACATGTACTAACCCTTTACCTCTCACAACAACCTATGAGGGAGAAATCATCTCCCCATTTTGCAGAAGAAGAAACTGAAGTCCCGAGACTTGGGGTTCACCACGTAACCTCATAAATTCCAGCTGAGGCCCTGGCCCCTCCCTGAGGTCCTTCCCTGCCCTTCCTTCCCGGCCCTGGCAAGGCTGCCCTTCCAGGAGCTCCCATCAGGATGGGAGGGCAGGGAGCAGGTGGGGCAGGGCCAAGAGAAGCGGCCCAAGAAGGCAAAGAACCTGCTTCACTGTGTGAAGTTTGGAGTCACTTATGTTTTGCTCCTTCCCGCCTGCATCTTGTCTGAGCTTGTTCTCACTTCCTTTGTAACATACCCCTTTCCTGACCCTCCATCTCAGCTTTGCTAAATAACATTGCTTCACTAGATAAGGGGCAAGCTGTCCTCCACTGTGTACACACAGGATTTCCCCCAGAAAGAGAAATGGTCCACGTGGGGATGGGAACCTGAAGTGGCAAATGCTGCTGAGACAGAGAGAGAACTGGGAGAGGAGAGAGGAGTGAAAGGGATGCAGTAATCAAGGCTGTCTCAAGAGGAAATTTGTCTACATAACCTTATGTGCAGTCGCTCTCCCTTCCTTCCCCCACCAGTTCATTCAGTTATTAGCAAGCAAAGTGAAAACTGCTTTTAAATCTATGATTGCTTTATTTTTTCTTTTATTTTTCTCTACAATTGCATCATATATTACAATCCTTCCGTTCTTTCTGAGGTCCCATGGATTAGTACTCATATTATTTGGTCCCAGTACAAAATATACAGGGTGTTGTTTTTTTTGCCTCAGTATAAAATGCTATTTGCCCATCAAACCACAGAGAATAATAATTTATTGCTGCTATTTTGTTAAAAACCCACTGGCATTAACCCACAAATAAGCTGATTCATTGTTAGAGAACAAATACATCTGTTCCTTGGCTCTACCCACTCTATTAGATACTCCGTGTACGTGCAAATGCTCATACAAGTCTATAGTCCAGGTCCCCATGTCAGACTGCACTCAAAAAACCATATAGAACTATACCCTATCCCGAAAGTGACATTCACACAAAATAAAAACTTCACGTAGTCTTATATACAGATAAAAAACCCCACATGAGTAAACATTCTCTGAATAATAAGTCAGGGGGTTGGTGTGAGGACGTGGAGCTCCCCTGAGAGGAGGGGAGAGGGCATTGATGAGAGATGAGGATTAAAAGAGTGGCCCAGAACGCCAACCCTGCTGCCCATGTATACACACCACACAGGGAAGGGGGCAGCAGTCTGGGAGGACTTCCTGCAGCAGTCTGTGTTCCCAAGGAAGCCCCTGAAAGGAAAAAACAGCAGAAGGCTTCATGGTTCAGAACAAAGTACCGTTACTGCTATTGGGAGAAAGTACACAAAAATTTTGAAATACAGTGGAAATAAACAGAACAGTGGTGATGGTAACTTGACTAAAATGAGGATAGCAGATGGCATAATGGCTGCTTTAAAGGAAGGAAGGTAAGAATTTGATTTGCAGAACAGAAGGGAGCCACAGAAACTATTAGAAAAGAACTTTGTAACACCAAGATGATGGTTTCAAGATGACAGGAGCTGTGATTTGCATGTCAGAGTTAGGAGGGATAGATAAGGCAGAGAAAGGGTGGAGAGAAGCAGACTTAGGGAGAAATTCAGTAAATAGGGTGAGTTTTATTAGCTGTGAAAAGAGATGACCAAGACCTAAAACCAGGAGAACACGGGAGTAAACATCATACCAGGGTTGATAGCTGATCCGCTTAGCACCTAACACCACTGAAGCTTATCGACACAGAGCCAGGCTTGACTGCTTCGGGTAATTTGCACTTTCTGGATTCTCTTAGGCAGGAGATGTCCTCACAGACCCTGTACAGGCCCTGTCCTACTCAGACACACCACAGGCTGTGTTCTAAAACTGCTGAGTGTTCATGCAAGGCCTGAGCTGAGAGGGATGGGCTGGAATCCTGACCTCCTTCCTGCCAGCCACAGGATCTGGGCAAGTGACCCACCTTCTCTACACCACAGGCCATTCCTGCCTGGAAGGGTGCAGTGAGGACTGACTGCAATAACAATTACGTGCATGAAGGGCCGAGCTCGGCAATCCTCGGGCTGGGTAGACGCCATCACCCTCATGCCACCTCGGCTGCAGAAAGTGCCTCTCACTGGTGAGCTGGCAGAGGCACCTTCATGCTGCACCCCATCATCATGGCTGCAGAAGGACCTGCTGTGTCACGTCTCTGTTAATACAGCATCGCCCCTTCACATAATGCACCATCTCTGGCTGCCTCCTCCTGTGCTGCCAGCCAACCACTTCACCCATAGTCCTTCTGGCTGGGCTTTCCTCCCCACACCTGCTCCTTGGTGGTCTCGTCCGCGGCCTTTATCCCTGACTTATTTTTCTATAGATTCTGAGCTCCACGCGTGAATGTCTTCACTTACATGTGTCACACAAGCCCTAAGCTTGACACATCTGAAATGCATGAACCAAACACGTGTTTGTGAAACGCTGACTGGATGGAACTTGACTGTCCCAAAGGCCAGAATCCTCTTCTTCTCACCAGCGGGCCCAGCCCAGGGCGTTGCGTGTCAGTAACAGTTGGCACTGTGTCGCTGTGTAAATTGTCTGCGGATCTGTTCCCTATTCTCTTGAGAGGCCTCAGACCTCGAGGGGGGAGCCCACGTCCACTCATCTCCAGTTCCCACGAAGGATCCCCCACAGGCTCTGCACAGAGTGGATCCGCATGTATTGACCGTTGGTTGAGTTGAATGTGCTGAACGCTCCCCACATCCATCACATATTCAAACTTTCTTTCCAGGAAGCCCCGTCCGCAGGACAATGGCCCCAGTGTGCTCCTCCCTGATGCCAACAGGCCCCAGAGCCGACACTGAGGCATTCGCTCCCCCACAGTCTTGCCTCTGCTCCTGTGGTTTGGCACATTCCACATCCTCCCTCCATTCCAGGGCTTGGCCGCTGGATGAAGACACACGAGGTACACCTGGAACGGGAAGATGCCGGGAGCCCAGGACACAGAGGCACTCACCGCAGGCCATTCTCAGAACCCACTGTCTCCTTTTCTCTTCTCCTCTGCACGGGGCAGGGGCCTGCTGCACCCATCATCTCCTCCATCACACACAGGGCCTCTCTATGTGCCCATCTAACCTCAGCAGGGGCCCCACACGGACAGGGGCAGCCTCAGAGAGGCAGGTCCTGGAGGCTGGGACCCTCCTTGGTCCAGTAGAGCTGTGCTGTGGATGGGGTGGCCTCGCTGGGGGAGGGGTGGGGAGAGAGGACTGGGGTGGAGTGAGGTGGCACAGGTCTCCCTCCAGGCTGCAAATGCCCAGACAGCCCCAGTGGCAGTGGCCTGGGCCCACTGCCTGACAGTGGTTCTGCCAGCATTTCTCTCCCCTCCCCACCTGCAGATCAGACACACACCTCACACTCCCAGGGCCGTCAGGGTTCTGGGAAAGTTTCCGGGGGCTGCCTCTAACTCCATCTCCTGCCTCCTACTCAGGAGGGCACGTCCAACTTGAGTGAATGATGACATCTGTGTAGGGACAATCTTGAATGTTGTCTGACTAATGCTTATATTTTAAAAGACAATTGGGCCCGGCCAGCATGGCTCGGTGGTTGAGCGTTGACCTATGAACCAGGAGGTCACGGTTCAATTCCGGTCAGGGCACATGCCCGGGTTGTGGGCTTGATCCCCGTTGGAGTGTGCAGGAGGCAGCCAACCAATGATTCTCTCTCATTATTGATGTTTCTATTCCTCATTTTCCCTTCCTCTCTGAAGTCAATAAAAATAAATAAAAGACAATTAGTACCATCCTTGCCACAGCTCTCTAAACTGCGTAAAACGATTTGGGTCCTGTGATGGGGCAGAACCAAGAAAAGGAAATTACAGGAGGTGCCCAGAAAATAGTTACTGACTATGATAAGGAGACTGCAGGCCTGGCTCAGATGCAACCATTTGTGTTCAGAATTTTACACTTAAGTTTGGTTGTGCTGATATTTTAAAGACAACTGGAATAGAATTCTCGATTTTCCTTTTCTTATTAATAATTTCTAAATGCTCATTGCCTGCTTTAGTTGTTCAGCTTAACAATACTAATTTTGTAGTTAGTAATTACTAAGCTGGTTAACAATTGCTAAGTGCTTATTGCCTCCTTTATGGAGCATATGTGACTCAAAGCCTATTCAAACCAATTTCAAAGGCAGTTACAAGCCTGCCTGGGATTCATAATAAGCATTTTCCTTAAGTGGACTGTTGGTTGAGTATTAGAAATATTTTTCCACATTGAGAATTTTCTTACGCTAAAACTTCCTAAAAGCCAATCACTAAAGCCCTTGTGACATGCAGGGGACGTGAAATAGTCCCCTGCATAAATCCTGGTTGGTCAAATGGCCTAAAGCACAATAATGACACCTTATTGACCCTGCAGATTTACAGGGAAAGATTGTGAGGAAAGTTGAACAATATCCCACAGGGGTACACACATTGAGTTGAATACATTTCTCCTGGGAGTAGAGAAATTAGTATAATAATGGGATATCTGCGGGGTTCGTAAAGATGAAAACGGGCCTAGAGAAGGGGTGGGCTCTTCTGAACATTTTTGGCTCTTTGAATATTAAATACTCATGTTTTTCACCCTCTGGGCTTTTGCACTAGACCTGCCTGTATTTCCATGTAACCCAGGTGAAAGCACATTGGTCATTTCGGGATGTTTTTCTTCATTGAGCATTATGTCGTTATTTGGATGCGCCAGCTGGAATCTGGCCTGCACAGTTCCCTCCTGTTGAAGCGGTTGTTTTCTCAGTCCTTTCCATCTGCAGTTTCCCAGGAATCTCCGTGGCGCACCAGAAACCCTCACTCAGTCTTGCTGTGTTTGGGTGATGGTGTGTGCCACATTGTGGCTCTGTGGTGCAGGCCAGTTCCTTCAATCCTACCCGTAAACAGATGAGGGCTTGGGCAGCCTCCGGCCTCTAACCTGCTCACCTGTGTCCTTGCTGTGCAGGCTCAGTCATTCATGCAGCTATGAAGCAGAGTCAGAAATTGGCTGCTATTTAATCTTTGACTCATCATTGACCTCTCAGCCAGCAAATTTAACCTCAGTCTAGTCATTAACTGAATAAGTCTGAATCCTAATTTCAGTGGTATGCTGGCAAATGTTTAAAAACCTGACTCTCAAGGGACAGAGAGAAAGGGGGGCCGACTTACAGTATTTGCTGATCCTTTGGTATAAATACTCCCACCGTGGCCACTTTAAAGCTGACAAGGTGAAGTCATTTAAGGAAGTGGAGCTGGGAAGAAACGTGAGCTATTGGCTTCCTGACATGGTCCTCTGGACTCCACTGCTTCCTCTTCGGTGAAATGGGAATGATCGTGAGTACATCTTGCTCCCGGAATTGTTATTTTTGACCTACTTTGATCATTCATTCTTTCAATAAGCATTTGTGGAGAATCAGTGTGAGTCAAAGGCCAGGTACTGAGGATGAAAGAGCTCACTGTCAAGGGAGTTGTGATTCAAATAAAATAATACACATGAACCAAAAAAGCCCACCTTTTTAATTCTTAAAATGCAACACAAATGCAAATTAATTTGAATTAAGTTTAATAGGATGGGTGTACAAAGGACTTCAGGTCCTCTGTCCACAATGGCTGCACATATAAGCTTGTTGTGTCATTATTTAGTATAATGAGATATTGGAGAACATGTATCTAGCAGTGGTTCTCAACCTTTCTAATGCCGCGACCCTTTAATACAGTTCCTCATGTTGTGGTGACCCCCAACCGTAAAATTATTTTCGTTGCTACTTCATAACTGTAATTTTGCTACTGTTATGAATCTGATATGCAGGATGTATTTTCATTGTTTGCGACCCACAGGTTGAGAACTGCTGACTAGAGAAACTTTAATACTAATTTCTTTATATTCCATCCACTTCCAAAAAGCATTTGAAGTAGTTTATTATTATTTTTTTTTAAATATATTTCTTTATTGATTTCAGAGAGGAAGGGAGGAGAGAGAGATAGAAACATCAATGATGAGAGAGAATCATTGATCGGCTGCCTCCTGCACGCCCCCCACTGGGGATTGAGCCCGCAACCCAGGTATGTGCCCTTGGCCAGAATCGAACCTGGGACCCTTCAGTCTGCAAGCTGACGCTCTATCCACTGAGCCAAGCCGGCCAGGCCTATTGTGTTTTTTTAAAAGAAATAAATATAAGACCAAGTCCAATGATCACAAAGATAGAAACTGAGACACAAAAGTAGAGAGGAAGGAACAGATAGCAGAGGAGCTACTGAGAAGAAATCTCAACTGTTAGCCTCCTAAGAACTAAGGGAAGTGTTTATAGTTCTCCGATTTTAAGGCAATTCTTTAAAAAAAATCACACATTGATTTCAACATGATCATTGGATGGATCTACCGTGTTTTGTGTTGTTACCGTGTACAGTTCTCGGAATTTATTAATGTAATTACAGAACACCTACTTGAAACATATGAAGGATGTAAATCTAAGATCATGTTTCCCTAAGTCTGAGCCCTCAGGACCTAGTCTGTGCTTAATGAAACAGGCTCTTGGAGAGACACCTGCCCTGCTGGCCAAATCAACCTACTACACCTTCCCCTGGGCTCCTGCATCAAGTCTGCACGGTAGCCTGGCATGACAGCATCCCTCCATCCGGGCTCCCCCTGCCCTCATGCTCCCCCTGCAGACCCTGTCCCAGCAGCCGGGTTCCCACAAGGCCCCTGTGTAGCCAGGACTCCTACACATGGAGTCCTTCTTCCTGTCTCTATGGCCAAGTCCTCACCTCTTCCTGAGGACGGTTCAGATTCCCCTTCTCTGAGACCTCTCCAGCCAGGTTGATGGGCCTTGCTGTCCTGTTGCACGTTTCAGTTACACATTAACTATTTAGTTAATTGAGATTGTAAATGAATAGAAAGTCTTATAACCTGTTTCATTTTTTTAACCCTGTCTTTTAAAAAATATTTTTATTGACTTTTAGAAAGAGGAAAGGAAAGGGAGAGAGAGAAACATCGATGTGAGAGCTAAACATCCATGGACTACGTCCTGCACTCCCCCTACTGGGGATTGAGCCCATAACCCAGGCATGTGCCCTGGCTAGGAATTGAACAAACAACCTCTTGGCCCACTGGACAACATGCAACCAACCGAGCCATACGGCCAGCGCTGTTTCATTTCTTATGGAAATGAAAAGCAAAGTGCACCCTGGCTGGTTTGGCCCAGTGGGTAGAGCATCAGCCTGCGGACTGAAGGGTCCCAGGTTCAATTCCAGTTGGGGGCACATGCCCGGGTTGCGGGCTCGATCCCCAGTTGGGGGGGGGTGGGGATGCGGGAGGCAGCTGATCAGTGATTCTCTCTCATCATTGATGTTTCTGTTTCCCTCTCCCTTTCTCTCCGAAATCAATAAAAATATTTTTTTAAAAGAAAACGTGCTATTAAACCAAAGATCACCTTGTAACATTTTTTAGAAATAGAAATTTATAGAGAGAATAATTATAGAGCAAGGTAGGGTAGTGAAGAGGATCTAGTCCACTTCTTTTACACATAAAGAAACTGAGACCCTGAGAAAGGAAGTGACTTGCTCGAGACTAACCAGCATTTAGTTGTAGAAATCGACTTGGAACTGTAGTCTGTGGAATCCCAGTATTTTTATAACACCCTACTAGTTTCATTTTGGCTTTTCTTTCATAGCCAGCAAGTAAGATTTGAGATATTCACCAATAGAACTATTCACCACCACAGAACTTACAAGTACCCGGAGAACATACATGTCTGATCCCTCCTCCACACCATTCCCCTCCCCTGGGACACACATACCACTCCTGTTCCCCTCGCTTGCTTTTTCCAAAACTCTGTTCACACTTCAGTCACTAAATATTTCCAGTGTCTTTCCCCACCCCGGGCTAAATTAGATGTCCCTCCAGTTTATGTCAAGTCTTGTGTAAATAGCACTATTACCTTCTCACTCTCTATTGTGATATTTTTTTTGTTATCTTGTTATCTTGTCTATTATTATGAATTCACGAAAGGCTGGGAGTGTATCTGGTTCATTTTTCTATCCAACTACCTATAATTATGCCTGGCTCATAGCAGGAAGTCAATAAATATTTGGTGAATGCATTAATTATTTTGACAGGGAAACAAGACCAAAGCTGTGGTTCTGGTTTTGGCTGAATTCATGAGAGGTTTACCGAAGGGTGGGATTGGAACTGAACACTGGAGCGTGATTAGAATACGAGAGATGTGGAAAACAGTGACATAACACTGGTCTGACTCAGGGCTTGTCAAACGTTTTCTGGAAAGGGCCAGACAGCTGGTAGGTGCTGAATTCAGGGGCCCAGGGCTGACTTATTTGGGTCCTTGATCAGACTGGGAAGGAAGGAACCCCTTTGCTTCTGGTGATTGTAATCTCGGCTTCTCTGTCCCACAGCTTCTGCTTTTCATTTCTGGACCAGGCTTTGTGCTGATTCACTTATCCAGATGTTTCCTGCTTCTTTGTGCAAGAAGCGTATAGCTCTGTCACAATAGCCATCACAGCCAGGAATGAACACCTCCAGAAAGAGACCCCAAAGAGGTCTCTTTCTGGAGGCTAGCTTCCCTAGATTCTCTCT